AGGCCCATTTAGGGTCCCTGGCAGGCACAACTCAGACGTAGGGTGCACTACTGCGCAAAACCGGAATGTATTTTTTTAAATGTATGCTTTAAAGATATGGCCATTTTCTTAGATAATGCTTTTAAGAGAAAATGTAAATATAATTCGAGAGCAATACTGTACCTTCTCTTAGACTAAATAGTTTTGATGCTGAGGACTCCTTGAGCACTTGCTTCACAAATAGGCCTTCGGCTCCCCCACCGGCCACACTGAATCCACTTGCGCCAGATTCCACTTCTGTTTGTAATGTCACTTCCATAGATTCCTAGTTAGTCCCAAAAATTAAGCTATTAAACCTCATCTCTAAATTAGTTCATTCTTCGATTCATTTATATCATAAGGTCAATCACACTGTCATTAACATAATCGTAACCTTGACTGCACTATATTGCCAGAAATATCACATATTAAATTTACTAAAACACAACAAACATTTCCTGGCACTGAAAGACAAGCAAAATTATAGAACAGATAGCAAGGTTTTTTAGAGATTAGATTTATTATCAGCTTGCTGGATGAGTACTGTGGATAAGCCTATCACAAGATCAGAATGTAGGATTTGACAAGAAAGTATTAATATTTCTTAATGATCCATGACAGGCAAATAAAGATTTTTAGAAGATATAAACATCTCTCTGATATTTTTAGAATGGAAGACAAGTAATTTTAAATAAGAATTAAACAGTCAGCAATGATAAAATATCTAACCAGATAAAAACTTCCATCTAAATGTCTTAATACCATACATATGTATAATTATTTTTCAAACGACACATGTTCCTGAAAAAAAACACCTCAGAACATACATTTTCATTCCTTTGGATCTTATGACAATACTATTTATAGTCACTAGCAATTCATAAAATTATAAAATATATTCATTGAAAAGGACTGTGTTGATTTGCCTTCTCTTCCATGTAATGAGCTTTTAGGCACCTGCATTACTCCTTAGCATACTTTTTTTTTAGCTAATCATACCCCAACTCCTTGATTTCTTTATTCATTTCTCATAGAGCTTGCTTTCCAAGCTTTCCATTGTTTCCCGGCCTGGTAAGTTTTCTCTCAACCTATTCCAGTTTCTCCATATCCTTTTTAAAGTGGGGGGGGGGGGGACATATGGCTTGACCAAAGAAATATTACTTCCTGTAATTTAGATGTAATATTTCTGTTAAAGCAGAACAAGACTGCATTGAACATTTTAGCAGTTGCATAATTCCACTTGTTCAACTAGTACTATAGATTTTTCTTACACTATTCAATTTCTAGTATTTAATTTTGAAAAATGTTAAGGTGATATAATTGTCTACTTAAATACAGAACATTAATGGCTTCTTCCAGAAGAGATTTTGTCTTCTACAGAACCTAATTTTATTATCATAGTACTTTAAACTGTTCCTTCCTTCCTT